AGATTCATATTCTATGTAGGTCTCGGATACAAATTTGAAATTGATACTTAGTTTTAGATCTTAGCAGCACATTGTTTGGCCCGTAATTGAACATGTGGAAGATGCCAACTGAAAAAACCACTATACGGAAAGCAAGCGGATATGTACCAATCTAGTTACGGACGTTGAAAATATTATTCAGGTATGTCTCAGATTCAACATCTATGTATTTCCTATTATGATATTTTCTAATTCAAATGTACTTCGATTTAAATGTGATGTTTAGTTGCAGATCCAAGAAGCAGTGTTTGATACTTGCCACTCAATCGGAGAAAACCATCCAGTGAATGAGGACCGAACAGAAGATCCGCAAAGAGAACTGACCAGAGTATACTTTACAGAATTCAGATAATTATATTCGTACGGAAGGCGATATATTGATTACCTTTCCAGATTCTCAAGCAGATAGATAGACAGATATTCACCTTTATGTCTCTATGGAAACACGACAGGTACCCTTACGAGGGGAGAGTATCAACTCGGCGTTTATAAACCCTCTCTGCAAAGGAGGTAGGCGCATGGTGGGTTAGGTATATACAGTGTTCTTCATTGCAGAGAAAATTGTTGTTTATCTGCCTCTCTCGTCTTCATTGGGATAGTTGATGAATTACAAAAATATATCGCGTTCCAGTTATGAATGTTGAAAATATCCAGACTTTTCATAGATTCATATTCTATGTAGGTCTCATGATTCAAATTTGAAATTGATACTTAGTTTTTTAGATCTAAGCAGCACATTATTGTTTGGCCTAAAAGGTCCTTAATATAATCCCCGTAATTGAACATGTTGAAGATGCCTACTGGAAAAACCACTATACGGAAAGCAAGCGGATATGTACCAATCTAGTTACGGAGGTTGAAAATATTATTCAGGTATGTCTCAGATTCAACATCTATGTATTTCCCATTATGATATTTTCTGATTCAAATGTACTTCGATTTAAATGTGATATTTAGTTGCAGATCCAAGAAGCAGTGTTTGATACTTGCCACTCAATCGGAGAAAACCATCCAGTGAATAAGGACCGAACAGAAGATCCCCAAAGAGAACTGACCAGAGTATACTTTACAGAATTCAGATCATTATATTCATACGGAAGGCGATATATTGATTACTTTTCCAGATTCTCAAGCAGACAGATAGACAGATATTCACCTTTATGTCTCTATGGAAACACGACAGGTACCCTTACGAGGGGAGAGTATCAACTCGGCGTTTATAAACCCTCTCTGCAAAGGAGGTAGACGCATGGTGGGTTAGGTATATACAGTGTTCTTCATTGCAGAGAAAATTGTTGTTTATCTGCCTCTCTCGTCTTCATTGGGATAGTTGATGAATTACAAAAATATATCGCGTTCCAGTTATGAATGTTGAAAAAAATATCCAGACTTTTCATAGATTCATATTCTATGTAGGTCTCATGATTCAAATTTGAAATTGATACTTAGTTTTTTAGATCTTAGCAGCACATTGTTTGGCCTAAAAGGTCCTTAATATAATCCACGTAATTGAACATGTGGAAGATGCCTACTGGAAAAACCACTATACGGAAAGAAAGCGGATATGTAGCAATCTAGTTACGGACGTTGAAAATATTATTCAGGTATGTCTCAGATTCAACATCTATGTATTACCTATTATGATATTTTCTGATACAAATAATGTACTTCGATTTAAATGTGATGTTTAGTTGCAGATCCAAGAAGCAGTGTTTGATACTTGCCACTCAATCGGAGAAAACCATTCAGTAAATACGGACCGAAAAAAAGATCCGCAAGGAGAACTGATGAGAGTATACTTTACAGAATTCAGATCATTATATTCGTACGGAAGGCGATATATTGATTTCCTTTCCAGATTCTCAAGCAGACAGATAGACAGATATTCACCTTTATGTCTCTATGGAAACACGACAGGTACCCTTACGAGGGGAGAGTATCAACTCAGCGTTTATAAACCCTCTCTGCAAAGGAGGTAGACGCATGATGGGTTAGGTATATATAGTGTCCTTCATTGCAGAGAAAATTGTTGTTTATCTGCCTGTCTCGTCTTCATTGAGATAGTTGATGAATTACAAAAATATATCGCGTTCCAGTTACGAATGTTGAAAACAATCAATGTTCCATGTAGGTCTCACGATTCAAATTTGAAATTTATCCTTTGTTTTAGATCCGAGCAGCGCATCGTTTGACCTTCAAGGTCCTTAATATAACCCATCGTACGTAATTGAAACTGTGGAAGATGCCTACTGGAAAAAACACTATTCGGAAAGAGAGCGGATATATAGCAATCCAGTTACGACGGACGTTGAATATATTATTCAGGTATGTCTCAGATTCAACATCCATGTAATTCATATATCTAATGATATATAATTATTTTCGGATATGAATGTACTTCGATTGATATGTGATGTTCTGTTGCAGATCAGAGAAGCAGTATTTGATACTTGCCACACAATCGGAGAAAACCATCCAATCCATACGAACCGAACAGAATATTCACAAAGTGAACTGACCAGAGTATACTTATGGTGACTAGTTATGTTATATATACCTACTTGGTATATTATGATTTGATATGCTGACAGACTGATGTGGCATTTTTATAATATAATTACAACTCAAAGTCTTATAATTTGTATCAATTGTATATTGTATCCACAACTTGGTGACCCCGAGGTGATATTATGGAGCAGTTGAGCGAAGGCGAGATCATACAAATTTTAAGACATCTCAACATCCATGTTAGTGATTCGATGGAATTTTCGGATATGAAGGAAATGCTGACAGAGTACATTAAGAAAACTTATAAGGACCAATTCCACGAAGCCGACTACAGGAGCATTCTTTCAGAGATTTCATTAAGAATCGTACCAAATGATGTTTCGACTACTATTTTTAGGAAGAAGGTCGATAGACTTGAAGAATTGTGCGAAATTCTGATCGTCAAATTTGATGAAAATCATAAAAAATATGATTCCTTGGAAGCAAGACTCGATATTTTGGACAAACATCTGAAAGTTCAACATTTCCAAACAATATCATGCCTCATGACATCATCTCCTCAGAAGACACATCAACTGGACATTCCAAGAAAGAGCAAGAATCAATTAAATCAATTAACCTACCAACATTCTGGAAACATGAGCCTCCATTATGGTTTAATAAGTTGCTGAATCGATTTTTGAAACTCACGGAATAACTTCACAGAGAAATAAATTTGGGAAAGTTATTTCAATGTTGGACTGCAATATTGCGCTCTGAGTTGGTTTTGTAGGTCTCTATCTGTATATGTTTTTTCCTAATATCCATTGGTCTCAAATAACACACTGTGTATTTTTTAAATATTCATCCATAAGATTTTAATCTGCCGCTGGTTTTTCTGCTCACCCTGTAATAAATTATAATATTCCATTTGGTACAATAAGATATTTATTTGATCTGCCTCTGGAATTCAGCTCGCTCTGAGTATTTTTTCAATTTCCATCAATCAGATTTTGATCTGGCTCTGATTATTCTTCAGAGGTCACCCTGTGATAAATTATAATATTCCATTTGGTTCAAGATAGGTGTATATCTGCTTTTGGTTTTGTAGGTCGCTCTGTATATGTTTTTTCTGATATTCATTCGTCTCGAACACACACTGTATATTTTTTCGATTTCCATCAAGATTTTGATCTGGATCTGATTCTTTAGGTCACCCTGTATATGTTTTTCGATATTTCATTTAGTTCAAGATATTTGATCTGCCTTTATCTGCTTTTGTAGGTCGCTCTGTATATGTTTTTTCTGATATTCATTTGTCTCGAACACACTGTATATGTATTCATTTTTCATCCAACTCATACATCAACCGGTCATCAACTGACATCTGTCATCGGTCATCTGTCATCGGTCATAGGTCATCGGTCATCAAATTGCAGAATTTTTAAAACTGCCAGCAGGTCATAAATTATACAGGGCATAGTTATGGTTTCAGAAAAACATCGGCAAGTTTACTTGCAATTCTGGAGGAGTCTACGAATATCGCTGAAGAGTATATGCAGAAATCTCTAACAAAACCTCAGCTACTTTACTTTCATCAATAAATTATAAATGACTTTTTATTTAAGGAAGACGGAAAATTCATACGTATAACATGGGGGAAATTTCACGTATTACTTTTTATAAGCCTACTTTTCGTCCTGGAATTAGCACACATGACACGAGTTCAGTAGTTCAGATACCCACATCGAGGTTTTCACCATTTCTCAATCATAAGGCTCAGCTCATTCAGCTCATAGTTAAACTACTGCTCAGCTTGAAATCAGAATTCATTCAGTCAATTGAGTCAACCCTGGTATACAGTCTAAGAACAGTCTCTATTGGTGAAATATATTAAGCTTTTAGTACAAATTATATGTTCCCTACCTCGCAAAGATTATGCTGGAGTAGTAAACTCTAAAACTAGAGGATTGTTCAACAATATAAATATTGGTATAGTTGAATCAGGAATTCCATATGGAAATTACGTATGATACGCCAATGGCCTCAAACACTTTAGAGTGAGAGGAGATGAGGATCTGTCGGTACCCTGTTAAGATGACGTTCAATAACGTCAATTCGTCAATTTCCATCAAGGTACTCTACTGTCGACTACCCTCTACCAATCCCTCTACATTCCTATTCCGAGACGTCGATAGTCGAATAGTCGATAGTCTGTTCGCTTGGCTTGGAACAATCCATTTATTTAGCCTGCATTGGTCGGAATCGCTCGTTGATCTCGAGAGAGATTTATTTCGAACTCGAAAGTCTCGAGACCTCGAAGCTCAGGACGAATCACAGAACACAGTTATAGACGCGGTGCTCTGGCTGTGTTCTGTCAGTGAGCCCTTTGTGATTAAGTGTCAAATGTCAATTGTGCAGCTGCAATGCATATGTTGAAAGATCATTGTCAGAAGCTTGTCACTTGTCAAAAGCTTTGTTTCTGGTTCGTTTTTATTCGAGTTTTGACACTTGAGTGTGATTGTGATTAGGACTAGGAGTCGACAGAGGAGGGTGCGCCGAAAGTATGTGTCGTGTTTTTCGGATACATTCTTTCTGATTTAAAAAATTTGAAAATGTTTTTCGATTCCTAACGATAGCGCGACACTACTATTTTGTCGGATCTATGGCTACATCTCGATGTATTTCGCCCGTAGCGTAACGTAGCAGAGTTTTGGTATCGGGAAAAGTGCTGTATTTTGATGTCGAAGTGGTGAACCCAATCAAAATGGCGCACCAAATGCCCCCATCGGTGAACTGTTCGCTGGATGATATCGACTTGACGGCCCTAAAGGTGAGATTTTCCTTTTCTGAAGTCATTTACCTCGTTTTCCGATGAACACATACCACCAAATCGGCCCGTATACTCTAATTTCTTGTGTAAACATGTCGATTCCGTGGGTGTGAATCATCGTCGATGAAGTTTTGCTTTTGTATCAAAATATTTTTTTTGCAGGATCCAGCAGGGATTTTCGAACTGATTGAAGTAGTCGGGAATGGAACATATGGGCAAGTCTACAAGGTAAGGTTGCTAATATTTTTTACTGGAATTTCTGGCCTTCATTCATGCACTTTATGTGTCATCTGATAATATTTTCTCAGAACAGACAATGAGGAATGGAATTGAATTAATTAGAGAGTATTAAGTGTTTCAGAGTGTTGTAAATGTAGAGGAACATTGAACTTTTATTGAAATGTTCCCAGGACATATTATCACAATCCAGGGCAATTCAAAATAACAACCTTGATTATTATTGTAGGAGACTACCTGAATTATTTTTCTTACATACCTACATTACTGGGTTACTGGTTACTGTTTAAGTAGTGTATCTATGATATGTTCCTAATAATTCACTCAAACACATTTACAAATTGTGTTTCAGTAGCAAGTTGTCCCAAAATATCTTTTTTCCCCAAGCAGCAGGGAAAGTGGCTTTTTTCTGACACTTAACAGGCAGGAAAGGTGTACTCTCTCTGCCTAGACAGGACAAGTTTGTTGCTATGCAATGTTACAAGAAATTTAAATGAAATTGGGGTAAAACTGCACTTATTATGTGATCGTTTTTTTTTTGAAAATTTTTTTTGGCACACGTATTTTTGTCTGAAAAACACGAATTTGATAATGACAATGTGAACAAACAATTATTTATTGAGATATTTCACTATAAAGTTACAAATTTCACCTTCTTTTATATTATATTTATTTATTTATACTGCAAAACAAACAGTATTGACTTTTGTCTGTCTTCTGGATCACATTTAGAACAATTTACCCTTCTTTTTTCCTTGGACAATGTATATATCACAATGTACTTCAATGACACATTTTTTTTAATATATGAGTCAACTAGAAGTATAATTTTTTTGCCATTTATCCATATTTAGTGAAAAGAATGACAAATATCATTTGAATTAATGGCATGTGTAATGTCATTCAAAAGCAATCTGTTGACATTTGGCATATAGTATTTGGATTGACTATTGATTAAATGGCTGTCATATGGTATGATTGTTCACTAAATATGAAAAACTCACCATATAAAATCATATATCATGTATCATGTTGAATTTCTTATATAAAACTGTGTCATTGAAATACATCATGAGTATATAAAGTCTCCAATTACAAAATAAGAAGAGCAAGCAGCTGTAAATGCATATAACACAGGGGGGAAAAGAAGGCAACATTTCAAACTTTTTCATGAAATATCTTGATGAATAGTGGTTTGTTCACATTTTCATTATGAAATTCATGTTTTTCAGTCAAAAATACGTGAGTAAGAAAAAATAATTCTCAATAAAAATCCTATGGCATGATCAGTGCAGTTGGTAATCAAAATTGACAGTATTGACACTGACATTGGGTAGGTGAACACAAAATGATGGAGTTCAATAAAAAAATTACACAAAATTGGTTTCATAACATTTGGAGAAAAAATTATATATTTTACACACAGTAAATGTAGATTGACTGTGTTGGCTGAATTCCTAGCCTCCCTATGCTGGGCTATGAACTATCAACCACGGCAGTCAATCTACTACTTTTCTGCCCAGTGAAACAATTAACTACTTTCATATCATCTCCAACAGAAATTAAAATCATGTCATTTGTTTATTGTGCCAGTTTTTGCATTTATGGCATCAATTGAGGATAATCAAAAGAGAGTTTTGTCAGTTTCACCAGTTTCTGATAACTAGTCACTTAGGTTAGGTATCACAAACCTAATAAAAAACTGATTAATTGTCTATAGAACACTACTTACTCAGGGATACATTACTGAACTAGTCAAACTAGTGGCCATGATATTCTGCAAAGATGAATTCCCCAATTCTTAAAAAAAATTGATTGTCTTTATTACCCCAAGAAACATAGTCGTTTATAATAGGGATACATAAACAATATACATAATGTTATACATACAATTGTGAAATAATGATAAGATATAACAAGTGAAAAAAAAATGCAAATAATCATGCAATATCAACCTTTTATAAGTAGGTATTCAATTAAGAAATGGAATTGTCAAAGTCTCTGAAGCAGATATTTTTTCAAGTTAATTTTGAATCTAGTTGCTTCCTGTATATTCCTCAATTGACTTGGCAATGAGTTGTATAGAACGATTCCTGTGTGAAAAATGGATTGTTTGCCGATATTTGACTTAAACGTATTTGCTATTAGTAAATTTGATTGTCTTGTTCCATGATTATGTAATGAATTGATTTCATTGAAATTTGAATTCGAAATTTTCAATTTATATAGGACAAATTGAATAAAGCAACATATTTTAAGTTTATATAGTGATGTCAGGTCTAATAAATCTCTAGGTTTGTATAAATTCAAGGTTGGTTCGAGAAAATTCAAATTGAAAATACACTTCAATGTTTTATTTTGTAATTTCATTAGGTATTTTAAAAATTTCGAGTAGATATTTAATGATAATAATCCTCATTATTTCCAAGAAACTGGAAAGAAACTCAAAACAATATAGGTAGGTATAGAAAAAGTAAATTTTACCTACTCAATCAAATGAATTTTTTTTTTCTTTTTTTTTTGAACATAAGATGCATTTTATGAAAAAGAAAACAAATTCAACATACGCCAACCATATTTTAGAAGAAAACCATAGTTTTGATGATAATTTCGAAATTCTGCACATAGAAAATAAAGGACTGAAACTCAATCATTTTGAATCATTAGAAATCAACAAACGCAAAAATTTTTACATTTTACTTAATGATCAATTAGACCTTAATAGTTCATCATTGAATTTGTTTTCCTAGTAAGTAATAATATGTATTTGATATCTACTCTTTCAAGTTAATCCGGTATACCGTAATTTAATGTAGGTATTGTGCCTAATTTCCGAAAATGGAGGTTTATCGTACCTGTCCACAGGTAACTAATCCTTCAGGTTGGGAAGGTAAGATATATACAAATTAAGCAAGCCAACGTTAGTTTAGTTAGTTAGAAATCTTATCGTTTGTGAAGTTTTTACAAATGAATTATTGATTAATGAATAATTGCAAAAACTGGATAGATAGGTTACTATATGTATTTGAGACTGTTGAACACTCATGAAGTGTTATTATAATTATATAATACTGCATAGTGCATACAGGATGACAAGTGTTTTTTCAGATATTTTTTGTACTCAAATGATTAGAAGAGGTAATAAGAGCTCGGATAAAAGCCCCAATAAAAGGTAAAATCTATGCAAATTCAGTTGGAACAAAACATCACCGCAGGCCGTCTGTCCTTTTGAAAGTTCAAAGTGCAATTGACTTTTCATAAAATATACCTATAATTGCCGATAATCTACAACCGGTGTGAAAATAGAAACGGTCTCCGTATCGGAAACGAAATGATAGTATATGCGCACGGGTGTAAAATGTTATTACATCGATTCTTCCGTTTTAACATTCAGATATCGACTGAAACCATTGCGATCCAAATGTTTTGCGTCAATATGATGATTATAATGATGAATTGGGGTATACACACAAATAGGGTGCTACTACCCCTATATATAGATTAATATCTTCAGAACTAATCAAAACCAAATTAACTCATCGTTTTTGAAAATCTATATTCGATAGGATATTCAAAATGAGTGAGAGAAACATACCAACCCTGTTCCAGAATTTGTATCTCAAAACTCACCCTGAAAACCACCCCCGAATAGATGAAAATTACGTAAAATTATGTGAAATAATCGTTTCTGAAAATTTCTTTCTGACAATATCATCAGAACGAACAGAGAAAACAAACCTACCCTGTTTCAGAATTTGTATCTCAAAACTCACCCTGAAAACCACCCCCGAATAGATGGAAATTACCTAAAATTATGTGCAATGATCGTTTCTGAAGATTTTTTTCTCACAATATCATCAGAACGAAGAGAGAAAACATACCTACCCTGTTTCAGAATTTGTATCTCAAAACTCACCCTGGAAACCACCCCCGAATAGATGAAAATCACGTAAAATTATGTGAAATAATCGTTTCAAAAAATTTCTTTCTCACAATATTATCAGAACGAACAAAGAAAACAGACCTACCCTGTTTCAGAATTTGTATCTCAAAACTCACCCTGGAAACCACCCCCGAATAGATGGAAATTACGTAAAATTGTGTGCAATGATCGTTTCTGAAGATATTTTTCTCACAATATCATCAGAACTGAGAAAGAAAACATACCTACCCTGTTTCAGAATTTGTATCTCAAAACTCACCCTGGAAACCACCCCCGAATAGATGAAAGTTACGAAAATATATGTGAAATAATCGTTTCTGAAATGTTTTTCCTCACAATATCATCAGAACGAACAGAGAAAACATACCTACCCTGTTTCAGAATTTGTATCTCAAAACTCACCCTGAAAACCACCCCCGAATAGCTGGAAATTACGTAAAATTATGTGCAATGATCGTTTCTGAAGATTTTTTTCTCACAATATCATCAGAATGAAGAGAGAAAACATACCTACACTGTTTCAGAATTTGTATCTCAAAACTCACCCTGGAAACCACCCCCGAATAGATGGAAATTACGTAAAATTATGTGCAATGATCGTTTCTGAGAATTTTTTTCTCACAATATCATCAGAACGAACAGAGAAAACATACCTACCCTGTTTCATAATTTGTATCTCGAAACTCACCCTGGAAACCACCCCCGAATAGATGAAAGTTACGAAAAATTATGTGAAATAATCGTTACTGAATTTTTTTTTCTCACAATATCATCAGAACGAACAAAGAAAACATACCTACCCTGTTTCAGAATTTGTATCTCAAAACTCACCCTGGAAACCACCCCCGAATAGATGTAAATTACGTAAAATTATGTGCAATGATCGTTTCTGAAATTTTTTTTCTCACAATATCATCAAAACGAACAGAGAAAACATACCAACCCTGTTTCAGAATTTGTATCTCAAAACTCACCCTGGAAACCACCCCCGAATAGATGGAAATTACGTAAAATTATGTGCAATGATCGTTTCTGAAATTTTTTTTCT